TTTTTTTTTTTTTTTTTTTTTTTTTTTTTTTTTTTGGTACTGGGGATTGAACTCAGGACCTTGCACTTGCAAGGCAGGTAGCAGAACCACTGAGCTAAATCCCCAGCCCCATTCCATTGTTTGATTTTAAACAGAGGGACAGACCTGACCGATATATGGAACATAGAAGGTCTGTTAGAAGCTGTTGCCTGGGAGAGAAGCCGTGTGAGATGAATGTTGAGGAACCAAAGAAGTGTGGGGTGTGAAAGAGAACAATCAAGAAGCTTCCAAGGCCTTAAGCCTGAGCACTCAGACAATGGCCCTGCTGTCACCCAAGGTGGGGAGGCCTAGGGAGAAACAATCTTCCTCCTCTTCCTTTTCCTGTGTGTTGGGATGGAGCCCTGGGGTTTGCACATGCGCTGTAGCCAGGCAAGCACTCTACCCTTGAGCTACACCCGAGCCCACTTCCTTTCTGTTTTTAGGAATTCTGGGTTGGCATTACACCCAGTGTGTCAGTCATATTAGGCCTCACTATCTGGTCTCTAGATCCATTAACTGGACAGTCCTTCCTTCTTGAAAGAGACGGTCAGTATTCTCCTGGTTCTGAGATGTTGCAACAGCCCTTCAGTGGGACCGTAACCTCACATTGCTTAAAATCTGCCCCAGTGTCATCTCTCCCTCACAGCCCGAGAGCCACACTTTGCTTGGAGCAGTGGTTCTCAAATATTTTCATCTGAGACCACTTCCACTGTTTTTGCACTACTACTGGGGATTGAACCTAGGATCTTGTGCATGCTAGGCAAGCACTATACCAGGAGCTGAATTCCCAGACCCCCTCACAATCTCAAATGATGGAGAACCTCAAAAAATGTTTGTTTAGATGGGCACGGGTGGCAATGCCTGTAAGACCAGCCTGGACGGCTGAGCGAGACCTTGTCTCCAAACAAAAAGAAAGAGAACTGTTTGCTTATTTATTTGGCATTTTCAGATGCGATCTCACTGTGTAGCCCAGGCTGGCTTGGGACTTGTCATCTTCCTGCCTTAGCCTCTGGAGTGCTCTCATGACAGATGTGCACCGCCACACCCAGCAAGAAATGTTTAAATGTTTTTAATTCTTTCAAAATTATAATAACCCACCACCTGTTTACATAGATGCACTTGGAGATGGGGTTTCGTCAGTTGCTCAGGCTGGGATTCAGCTCGTCCTTTTCCTGCCTCAGCCTCCCAAAGTGCTAGGATCACAGGCGTGGGCCACGATGCTGGCTGAATAGCATGCATTCAATTGCCTATTTATACAGCTGTAGTAGGGATGGCTGGGGTTTCAGGTGTGTGCAACCACTCCAGGCTAAATTATTTATTTATTCAGCCCTCCTGGGGTTGAACCCTGCGCCTGAGTGCCAAGTTACAACTCATCCTTTATTTTTTCATGAATGAGGAACAATTTTTTCTTCATTTTTAAAGTTT